ACATATTATATGCATGACATATATTTGACTTGGGGCAACATGATGAAGATGAAACTGCCCCTGCCCAAGCTTAGAACAAGGGCCAAATATAGACAAGTAAGGTCTGCCCAAGGGAGTAAGTTAGGAATGTGCAGAGAATGAAAGATTTCGCAGAAGAGGTAAGATCTGTACTTAAGTAATATTTACTGCAAGACAGTATTAGATATATGGCCCATAAAAGCTAACAGATGCCATCAGAATTTAAAGGCGACGATGTCTTTTAAGACAGAGGGATGTGATCAAGGACAACTTCATAGAAGAGGTGACCTTGAACCTTGAATGAAGGGTAGACTTTAGAAAATGAAGACTTGGGTTGGGGCCAGAATAAGGCAAAGACATAGAATGGCGTGAGTTAACATACAGAAATGGTGACATATAAATTCCTATCTCAGTAGGATAAATAATCCTGTTTTGACCAGTTCGCTTAAACAAAGGAATCCTAGAGTATATGAATGGAAGAAGGCAGAACAGGTATAGCTGTCAGGAAATGACAGCTATTGGGGAGGGCACTGGAAGCTAAGCTGAATCTACCTTGGAATTTCTAAAATTTCTACCAAAAATCATAATTCATTGTGATATATTAATGCAGTGAAAACAAAATTTGTGCTTAAAGCTATTGTACACTTGCAACTCATCATCCAGTTCCTTAAACCAACCTGCCATGTTTCTCCGCATAACGTACCTATTTATACTATAATTTTCTAGAATCTAGGAAAGTAGATATTCAGAGCTGAACTCTTAGCTTTAACTCTGGCACCTTCTTTCCCATGTTTCTGACATCTAGTAGACATTGTTGGAAAACATTCATAAATGTCACGTACAGATGAGTACTGCTATCTGGAAGGCAATATTTCAAACTGTAATTTGAATATTTCTTGTCTCATCTCGTAAGGGTTATTGTTACAACAGTCATTAGTTGGCCTGCAGGAACAGGGGATCAGGAACCCTTAATTCCAATGTAAAAAGTAGAATACGTGATCACACCTCTCTTCCTTTAAATCTTTGGTGGTTTTAATCGGACACTGAGCTGGTTTTAGAGCTATGGGATATTAGAACTGGAATTTAGTCTAGCCCTCCTTATTTTAGTGGAACAAAAAGAGGTCCACAAAGGTAAAGTGACTTGCCTTAGGAGCCACTGCTAACTCTTTCTGCAGCCAGGACTAGAACCCACATCTCTTAGATTCTAGTGTGCTCTTCACATCAAAATTTACACTTACTGAATCTCATTAGCTTTAAATTAACTTAAAAATAGAATGTCAGTAACTTCTCAAGGTGTCACTATGTACCAGCATTTCTCAAACTCACCCCTACTGACATTTGGACTAGATAATTCTTTTTTTTTTTAAGATTTTATTTTTTTATTTGAGAGGGAGTGCGAGAGAGGGAGAGGGAAAGGGAGAAGCAGACTCCCCATGAGTGGGGAGCCTAACGTGGGGCTCGAGCCCAGGACCCTGAGACCATGACCTGAGCCGAAGGCAGACGCTTAATGGACTGAGCCACCCAGGTGCCGCTGGACCAGGTAAGTCTTGGTTGTGGGAGGCTTCCTGTGCCTTGCAGTACGATCATCAGCATCCTTGATCTCTACCCTCTAGATGCCAGTGTCACTACTTCCACCGTCCCGGTTGTGACAACCAAAAATGTCTCCAGACGTTGCCCAATGTCCCTGGGTGGGGGGGCAAAATCACCCCAGGTTGAGACACCTTGCATATACTTCTAGAATAATTCTTTCAGAGCCAGTCTGACTTAACCTAAGGTCATCCTTTCACGAGTCACACCTCTAACCTGACAGCATAGGGCTTTGCCCAGGTGTTCTAATTTCCCCTGCAGGTGTTACTATCATTGGAATCTTGTTATTCCAGGCTGTCCATGGTCACAAGTCCCTTCCCGATTTATTGCATTCATTATTTCAGTATGCATTTGAGGATCTATTCTATGCTAGATACAGGGTATTGGGAATGCAGAGATAAGTCTCTGATCTCCAGTAGTTCAGGCTCCTGGAGGAGACAAAAAGGTAAATGAACACCTGTCAGCCCTATGATGAGTATCAAGAAAGAGGTGTATGCTGGGAGCTACAGAATTAGAGAATGCACCTAATTCACACTGAGGGTGCTCATAGGGTGATGGGTCACAGAAGGCTGCCAAAAGGAAATGACAGCTAAGCTAACTCTTGAAGCACAAATCAGAATGAGCTTGGTCAAGAATGGAAAAGGCTTGCCAGGTAGAGGGATCAGCATACCTAAAGAAAGAAGAGGGAACCCTGGCTTCTGGTTATAGCATCAACATAGGGTGAGAAATGAAGCTGGAGGGTCAGCAGGGGACAGGTCTCAAGAAGCCAATTATGGCATGCCAAGGAGTTTGCCATTGTCTTGATGTTCACTATAAGCTGGGTTTGGGCGGGGGGGGAATACATCAAATTTGCATTTTAGAAAGATCTAAAGCATAGAACATTTTCAAGATGGGGGATTTGAAGCAAGAACCCAGGCCACCTCAAGATAAACCCCTGATGTACTGTCTAATAAAGGAACAACATGCCAGATTTTGCTTCCAGTTCCTTACACCACCATGGGAGGGATTCCTATCCTGGCAAGAAGAGGCAAGGCCCACGACAGTACAGAGGTATAGCTTCTCCTGCCACCCAAGACCATGGGAGGAGGAAATTGCTGGCCACCAAGGCAAGAACTTTTTCTTCTGGAATCTAAGACTTCCAAGGGAGGTTGCGTTCCCCGTGGAAATTCAAAACACATTTTTCCCATTAACGAAAAAATGATAAATTTTGCTATTTTTATTTATCTTTTTAAGTGAGCGCCACGCCCAACCTGGGGCTTGAACTCACGACCCCAAGATCGAGAGCCGCATGCTCTGCCAATGGAGCCAGCCAGCCGCCCCAGTTTTGGTATTTTTAAACGTGCGGCTCAGCCAATGTGTGGGTCAAAGGTGTTTTGGGTATGGGTGTGTGAGTGAATGTGGGCACTGGCGGTGGAACATATCGTTTCTATGGGAATATGCATTACAGATGGATTTTTGGGACACGATCCGTTTGCCAGTGATGAACTCCGCATGCCACGAAGAGAAAGTACCAGCAGAAATGACAGCAGCAACATGCACCAGTGGCCACCCCAGAGCCTGGCACTTAGCAGGTGCTCTGTGAATATCTGCAGAGGTGAACGGGATGCACGGACAGGGATCTCTGCCCTCACGTGCCTCTTGGTTAAATGAGACTTCGAAAACAAAAATGCCAGTTCCAAGATGTGCCGAGGCTGTGTGTGCCAGGACAGGAAGGGACAGCAAGGATTTGTCTAGAAGGACAGTGAAAGAAAGTGAGCTAGTACATTCCCGATTCTGTGGTCCCTGGGACAGAGACCCTTTGGTCTTACGGACAGAAGCTAATATGAGCCCGGGGTGACCTTATGATTAATTTTCAATAATGCCAGGACAGGAGATCAACTTAGGTAAATTAATGTTCGTTCCATCCCTTACTGCGTATTTGTTTTAAGAGCTGATTTGGTGACTTCTAGCTTAAACACGGTGGTCTTCCTCCCTCCAATGCATCCATTACTCAGAAGGCCCTGGTTTCCTAGAATTCCAAACAAAACGGCCATAGTTTTCATTAGCAGTCATCAAATCTGGCTGAATCCTCTTTCAAAGTGCCTCTTTTTATTTTCCACTACTGACCCGACCTATCTCTAGACTCTCCCAGTTTCGACTCAACCACAATTGTGGAGGCAAATTTACCTTCTTAAAACAATGCCTTGATTCACTTACGCCCCTCAAAAGCCTTTCACCACCTCCCAAGTACCTGCGGAATAAAGTCCAAACCTCTCGTCGGCCTTTACCACCCAGTACAGTCCTCACCTGGGGTTCTGTCCACCCCCGCTTTTGTATACAAGGCAACATAGTATCCTTACTGTCTCCTGAAGAGGCTTGTCCTCATTTCTTTACTGTGCTTGGTTCACACCTCGGCAGCCTGAAACCCTCCATTTCTCCCTCTCTCCCTTGAAAGCACATTTCTGAGCCTGGTCTACTCAGTGAGGTAGAAGTCTGAGCTCATTTCAGCCCACGCCCCCTCACTCAGCTTCTTTGCTTGCATGGAATCGTTCTGTGCATCTCTGGCTTCCTTGTGAAGGGGGTGGCTCTGTCTACCATGTTGCTGCCCATCCCCTAGCCATGGGCAATACACGACAAATGGATGACCCAACACCCCAGAAAGGTGCCTGGCCCATCCCAGGAGTTCAACAAATACTGTTAATTTAGCTGAATAAATTCAAGATCTCTGGTTCGGGTAATTTAAGATTACCACCTACTTTCTCCCTTAGACCGGGGGCTTTCCTCCCCCATCAGGTGAGAAAAAGCATCTAAACATTGTAACTTTGATAAAGTTAGCTTTGACACATAAAAAGCGAACTTCCTCTTGAACCCTTCAAGAAATGAGAACTGCCCCTCCCCCAGCCCCCAGTAATGAATTTCAGGTTCCTTGACAATCATCCACCGGATCATTTCTGCCTAAAAACTTCGCATCTTCTATTCATTTGCAAAGGTAATCTTACCTCTAGCCAGCCAAGTCACCAACCAATTGTCCAAGCGAGAAAAATGTTTTTAAAAATGGAGGCGTGGGGGGTAAAACGTCTACAGGCAGGGTTACTACAACAGGTGCTGCGCGGCAAACACGAAACACCCAAGCCGACCTTCTCAGAGAGCCAAATGTTTTTCAGCTAACCTAATGTTCTTCAACTGTTGCTTCAGGGCTTTTCGGTAACAAAAAATGCTCCCTCGCCTTGGCCCTGCCGTTTTTGGCCCCATCACTTACTACCGACTGCGTGTCTGACTTGTTTATCTGGGCGCACCCAGTCATCTCGCTCAGCGACCCAAGCGACCGCGTTTCCTTAAATCAGAGCCCCGTGGACTCTGCTCGGAACTACATTACCCAGCGGCCCCCGCGCCCTTCGCAGGAAGGACGTCTGCGCACTAAGATACTCAGTTCCAAGTTTGGAGCTTTTAGCTGCCAGCCCTGGCCCATCATGTAGCTGCAGCACAGCCTTCCCTAACGTTGCAACTGGGGAAAAAATCACTTTCCAGTCTGTTTTGCAAGGTGTGCATTTCCATCTTGATTCCCTGAAAGTCCATCTGCTGCATCGGTCAAGAGAAACTCCACTTGCATGAAGATTGCACGCCTGCAGCTTGCATCTTTGTTGCAAAACTAGCTACAGAAGAGAAGCAAGGCAAAGTCTTTTGTGCTCCCCTCCCCCATCAAAGGAAAGGGGAAAATGTCTCAGTCGAAAGGTAAGAGCCTGTTTGCATTACTTGCAAAAATGCAAAGGGTTGTGCATGCATTTATGAATGCATGGATGCAATTTTCGCCTAGCGATTGCATTTTTAAGTTTGAGGTTTTCCACAGCTCAGTTGCATTTCCTGTTTAGTATGTGTCTTTTTTTTTTTTTTGCAGACACAGAGAGTTCCTGTAAGGCAGGGCTTGCAGTTCAGCTGTGCATTGACGTTATTTGCATTCTTCTGCTAGGATTACTGAGCTCTTTTTGCCTTTTGCACAGTCAGGAGAGATAGAGCAGGTTGGTAGCGTCTAAATGTGCAGTGCTTTATATAATTGTAAAATTCTTTAGTATGCACACACATTATAAGTAATTTTATGTGCAACAGGAATACAAACTTTTTAAAAGTCTGTAGGTGACGATGAAAGGTAAAAGTTGAGTTAAACTAGTAGGAAATTAATGTAATCTTATATTCCTTTGGGAATAAACCGTTGCGGTGTCCGTTTTTAGCTACATTTCCATTGATACCGCTTTGAACATTAAGCAACTTTTGATTTTTAAAGGAAGTAAAGGTGAGGTGTGAATAATAACATATTACAGAAAGAGCAGACGGGAAGTCTTTCTCTTTTGAGATTTTACACTGTACACCAATTGCTTATTGGCTCACAGTATTTAGAAGCAGCAGTGAGGACATAGATGTTTTATGTCTCCCCTTTTGGGAGGTGCTTTGCATCTCGAGGGAAAATATGGGGAGAAAACTGTACTTTTAAGCATTACACCAACATGGGGGGAATGCACCGTTTCGCTGAAAATCATAATGAAATCTTTTTAAGTGTGTAATTACGTGTATTTAGACAGCTATAATAGGTCAGAAATTCAGGGTTATGGTTGTTTTTAAATTTTTTTCCTTTTTCTTAAAAAAATTTTTTTATACAGTTGTATTTTGCAGGCTTAATGTCATACTGGGGAGGGGATTAAAAAAATTCCTGACATGGCATCAGAGAGCTGAGGGGTTGCTGTCAGGTGCCTCTAGGACCCTAAGTCACTGCTTGTTTCAGAACAAATCCTTCACTATAGAGAAAGCATATGCCATATGAGACTGTATGGAGGGAAGAGGTGAGTTAGATATAGGTGAGTAAGGCTACGAGGGACACTACATGCATGGGGAAGATCCAGTGAAATTAAAGTGTCTCATAAGCCTTCTGCCATTTTTTTGGTATTTTGTTGAACCACTTTTTAATTCTGCCTGATGGGAATCACATCTCAGACCAAGAAGGAAGTGATATATGTTCTCGAGAGTTCGAAGTAGGGCAGTGTTTTCCTTTACCATTGGGGGCGAATGGAAATCTGGAAAGCTCAGAGTGCTGAAGAACCTAGGAATTGGCATTATGAAATACAGATGTTCCTTAGGAAAGAGGAAACCTACAATCTCCTAACTGAGCGGAGACTTAACAGCTTAGAATGGGCATTCTGGGCTTTGATGCATTAAAGAGCTGGCATCTAGTTACTTTGTATTTGGTATACACTCATTTATTCAGTTCAGTTTAATAGATGTATGAATATGTATGTGTATGTATATGTATGTATTCACGTATGTGTATGTGTGATTGATATCTATCTATCTATCTATCTATCTATCTATCTATCCACACACACACACACAAAATATTTAAAATGTACTGTTTCCTTCAAGGAACTTACCATTTAGAAAGCATGTGTGCAAATCATTATGATACAAGATAATTGCATAGATAGTGAAAAGAAATGGCCCAGTTGGGAGTTTAGAGATGGCAGTGATCTCTCTGGGAGATAAGAAGGTTTCGTGAAGAAGATGGTTTTATAGTGATCTTATCTTTGGACCTTAGGGTCTAAAGTAAATCAGGTTCCTTTTCTACTTTTTTTTTTCTCTCACTCTGAAGGTAGCTCTGTTGTACTAGAGCAAGTTTCTGAGTTGGGAAACTAGAAGGTACCAGCATGGCACACTTGCATTAGGAGTGTGCCCACTGTAGATCAGCTACTGGTGGTTCTTCAAATCAGTTCCCAGTTAGCCAAATGGTTTTCTTAATTGGGTCCTCTTTGGAAGGCAAATCTGGTGCCAATGTGAGGTGTCTGTCCAAAAGGAAAATTATCGATAGAAGGACGTGGATGATCATTTCAGACATGGCATGGGAGCCTTGGCCTGGATGTTAAGTGTGGAACTGGCCTAATTCGGCTACGTATTCTCAAGTGGCCAAGACATTTTTCGCAGTACCAAAGTGCTTTGTAATACTATAACCAAATGGAATGGGAGGCAAAAGTGAAAGGTGGACACAACCTCATAGTATTGAAGAATTTAACCACATGTTCAATTCAGAGGACCTTTATGAACTTTCTAGATCACTATAATTCGGTCTCCCAGACCTCTAATTTAAGGCAGAGCAGAGGCAAAAGAATTACAGACTCCCTGGGAGCTGGAAGGACGGGGCTGCTTCTTTCCAGCCTTACCAACGGTGAGATTCCGAGAAAGAATTTCTTAAAAAGAAATTTTGTTTTCCACAGTTGTAACTTTAGGTGGTATGCTTTTCAGCTTGTTTATATTAGCTGTCTGGGGTTGAGCTGACATTTTTCAAATATTAAAGTGGTAGAATGCCTTTGAGGAAATCTGAAATGTAAGTTAACAGGAAGGGCACCCAGAAAGTGCAGGAATTCCTGCACATTACAGGAAGACAAGCTACAGGAAAAATGTGTCATCTACATTACCCCGGAGAGAAAAAACTATTGTTATTAGCCATGATGATTTGAGGGAGGAAGGGAGAGAGGGAGGTGGGGAGGTCTGGCATCTCCCAGTTCACCTGAAAATACAGAAGTTTGACTCTGTAAGAAAGGCACTCTCTCTCCCTTCTCCCTCTTTTCACCTTTTAAAAATATTAGCTTCCCTTAGTTTAAGCCAGTCAGTACTGGGTAAATCGTGTTGGGGGAAATGCATGGAAGGCATAATTCAGAAGCATGTAGGAGTGGGGCAGGCACTCCTAGGGGCTCTTTTCCTCTGTAATTCATTGCACCCTGGGAAATGAAATGTGTAAATTTCTCATTCTGTGTAAATTCCTTTGTTAGGTTGTACCAGACAGACTTGTCATGCTTAGCCTGTAATCTGAGCCAGGATGTTTTATAACCCCGTACATCTCAGGACACAAAATCAGAATAGGTACCTTGGGTTTCCCCCGAGCTTGTTTTGTGGTGGTGTGGCATTCAGCACTTCATTCAGCTGCGTGTCAGCTGCAGGGGCTCTGAGGGGCTCTCTTGGTGGTCCATTTAATGCTGGAGTTAAAAAGGGCTGAGATTTATCTCATTGGGACTACTTTCTAGTATTTTAAAATCTGAAAGATCTATAAGGAATATTTTTAGAACCAAAGAAAAAAGTACATACATAGCACTTGTTCATTATAGAAACATTTGAAAATAAAGAAAAGGAAAATAAGAATCACTAGTGACAACACTATACATTTTGGCATATATCCTTTTGGACTTTTTTTTTAATACTTCCTGTATATGTGTATGAATAAATCTAAAGTGTGTACAGAATTCATGTCTATTTAGTTACCTTTTGTTTCACTTACGAATATACTGTGAAATATTTCCAAGTGAATATATATATGTGTGTGTATATATATATATATTTCTTTTTTTTTTTTTT